CCAACCAGCCACCCTGTAGCTGCAAACCAGAGCCTGCCCTGCAGATCAGACTGAGACAGAAATAAAAACTGTCCTTTCCCAGCTAAGGACTTTCCTTTGTACCAAAAGATGCTAACTATGCTATAAAACTCTCATACTTGTATTTTATTGACTTTTAATTGGCTTTGAACAAATCACATCTAAGGTAATGGTATATTCCTCCTTTGAACTTTCTCCCTCACCATCAAATGTCTGCAATGAGACTTTTAATGTTACCACGTTGATTTTTGAAACCACATATGAATTGTGTGTGTGTGTGTGTGGGTGTGAGAGTGAGAGAGAGACGGAGAGACACAGAGAGAAAACAGGGTTTATGGCAGTCTTCTAGTAAAACGCGGCAATCAAGTTCACACCTGAAATAGGTAAGCAATTTAAAGAGAGGAACTACAGAGGAACCTTTAAAGCCATGACAATATGCAGAGAACCTCTGGGAAATAAGCATGAATGTAATCATAAAGTGCAACTGGAATTCCAACACAAATCACATTGGAATGTAATTCATTTTCACAATATTACATTTTTCCTAGTCTTAGCCAAAATCTCCTGAACTTTATTTTTGTGCTTCTCTCTTAGTCTTTAATGGCTTCTTTATCAAGGGAAAACTAGCTCTAAACATTGCTGTCTTTTTTGGTTTGGTTTTTCTTTTCTTCCTAAATAACATTTCTAAGACATATCTTCCTTTCTCCATTTAAATCTAGAAACGTTATTCAGGCCTTCAACAGGCTGTAGTACCTATTAAAAGACTTTAAAATTGAAATGGTGCATCATGAGCTTATTCAGGTATGATTCAGGAATCCCTTTCCACTTACTGTTGATTTGAATCACGTAAGTTTGCCACCATTACTTGCTCCTCAGTTTGCACTGTGTTTTCAAAGTAACAGCAAATCTTTTCCAAGTTGGTTTTCATCTCCCTGTATGATCAGTTATTTCTTGAGAGCATGGTGGTGTCCTCTTTTACCCTGTTCATAGCAAAGGGTTTCATTATTCTCCACTTTGTTGGAGACAGCAAACGAGAAAGCCCCATGGCAACACTGACAGAGGGAAGGAAGACAGCTTTCAGATGTGTCTTTCTGACATAAGATTATATATTTTTTAAAAAGTAGCCTGGCAAATGGTAAGGAGGACTTCCTAAGGTAACAAAGAATACAGTCTCACTGTACTCTTCCCACCTGTGTTCACCCACTTGCTTTATCAGCTGTAAGTCCCAGTTACTCAAACACCTGATGCCAGTACATATATACACAAATACAGAACCTCCCAGAGCAACAGGGCTTTTCATACTTCTGGGGTAATTAATTGAATGATTAGAATTAATATAATAGAATAGATAGAGATAATAGGTAATAGAATTAATAAAATGCTTGCAGCTTAGGTAAGCAAACCTATGTTTTGGAGATCTAATGGTCAAATTCCATTCAAGGGGGTTTTAAGCTCATAATTAAATAGTAAACTAAATACCTTTCACTACTAAAGTTTCCATGGAATATATTATTATGCTCATATGCTCTTGATCAAAACCATCCACTTAGGTTTTGCCAAAAGATGTCCCTTATGGAGAATTCCTTTATCATTACCAAGCCCAAATATCTTTCTCCATCCCAGTTTTTGTGGCTTTTTCACAGTTCTTCACTTCCTATTCTTTAGTTTTCCCTTCTTCTTCCATCTTATTGACCTCAAACCCCTACATGCTTGAAGAGAAGGAGGCTCCTGCTTAAATTGGTGCCACAAAGCACAGGTGGTAATTGGCAGCTCCTGCACTCTGCAGTAACCTCAGTGCTGTGACACACAGCACTGCAGCCACTTACTCATCTGTGAATCTGCAACGGAGGAGATAAGGGCAGCAGGTCAACTAGTACAGGTAGCAATGCCAATGCCTTGAATAACAATCATAATCTTTCTGTGCTGGGTTTTTGCTTTAATGATTGAAAGTCAGTAGGGAGGATGGGCATGAGGAGCTGAGGGGCCAATAGACTTCCAAAACTATTCTACACATATTTGTAAATCAAATAGCTGTGAAGGAAGTTTGTCTGCTATACAGCTTGCAAATAATTGCCCCCTCCAGTACAGGGAACAGGGACTGGAATATTTTCCAAGGTGAGTACTGAAAACAGTCACCTTAGGTGAACATGGACAGACCTCTCACATGTCTGGCAAACCCTTCATGCAGGAAAAGGCTGTTTGAAAGGGGAAAAAGGCAGGATGTCATCAGTAACATCCATCTTTATCAATATTTAGAAAAGAGTGATACTGCCCTGCATACAGATGTGTTATAAAAAGTAACAGTGGTTATTGGTTTCTCTGGATCTGGATTGAAGGCACTTGAGACAGTAGTTCGTGTTCAGACTCTGGTGTTTATTATTTCTTATCAGTAAAATAGTCCCACTATTGTGAGTTCATCAGCTTTTCATTAGAAGGTACAAAATGGCCAACAATCTTCTTTAACAAGGTCTTTTAAGACTAAACTATCCAAATAAGAACTGACACCTAGATTATTTTCCCTTTTAACCCAATGACTGATCCCACAGAGCCTGCAATGCAGACTTTTCTGCCCAATCACAAAATGCCACCCAAACCCATGAAGAAGAAGGAAGAAGAAACCCAGGATGACACCCTGTGGCCTCCCCATCTTGCTTCCATCCACAACATACTAAAAATCCCAAACCCTAAATTTCTCACCAAGTGACACACCTACACTACTCTCTATAATCCATTTCACACTTTTGTGGATTCTAGTCTACCTTGAAGTCTACGAAACTTTCTCCATGAATGAGGGTCCAAGTCAGTGCTCCCCTGGGGCTCAGGGCACCCCAGAGCAGACAGAGTAATATTCCCAGCGCCCTGGGTTTCCACAAATGGTGAGTTCTAGAGAGTTTGAAGCTGGAAACCCTAATCTTTAATTTCAAAGAAAGGGGAAGAAAACCCTTAAACAAATAACGTAAAAAACTCCCTCAGATATGTCCTTTGAGTCAGTTCATGCCAGCCAGCCTGGGTGATACCTACTGAGAATGAATGCTCTCAATGACTGGTTTTTGAGTCTCTTACTTTCTCCTTACTTGCCTAACTCAAAGCTCAGATTTGTGATAGTCATGCAGTAAAAGAATCTCAGAGATGACAGCTCTTGCCCTCAGCTACAGCGGGATTATCAGGCAACTGCTGTAATGGTTTGTATGCTGATAATTAAGTCAAGATAATAATCTGAAATGACCAAGTAAAATGACAAAAAGCCACGTGGAATAGTGGCACAGGTGAGAGGAAGAGCTATCTTATTTTTTTCTCTTTTCACCTATGCATTGCACTGAAAGCTCTGGCAACACACTGTGGCATGGCACCAGTAATTTCTTTGCACTTGAATTTGAAATGTCCATATTGACAACTCTTCTCAGCTATTTTCCTTACAGTGCACCCTCTGTGCATTTATATTTCCATTCATATTTCCTATTTCAATATGGTGTCACACCTCCTGTGAAGCCAGTTCAGCAGCAAGCATCCCTGAGTCTCAGCATGGTGCTGGCTGTGGCTCTCTCCTCTCTTCAGCACATTCCCACAGCACATGAAGAGACTTGGGGCTTTTGAAGCAACACAGTCAATCCTTCATGGATAAAATTCTTCTTCTATGCAGAAGAAATGCAAACAAATACTGAAATATTTTTTGCAAGAACAAAGTTTGAGCAGTTGATACTTGCACATCCTCAAACCGGGCTGAACAAGCATCCTCAAGCCGGCTCTGAAAACGGCGGCTGGTACTCGTTCATTCATTCACAACGCCCGGTTCCCCGGACACTCGCCCCTGTCCCACCTCCCCATCCCTGTTTTCCCGCCCCGTGCGGGCGCTGCGGGCTGTGCGGGGAGCCCCGGAGGCGGCGGCGGCTCCCGGGGGGCTCGGATGCTGCAGCCCCTCCGGCCCCTCCGAGCCGCCCGGGGGCCGCATGGCCGTGGGCAGGGGAATTGTACGGGCCGGAGGCAGCGCCGCGGAACATCCAGGTCACGCCCTGGTGTCCCCTTTTTATTTTCTTTTTTCTTTTCCTTAGGAGTGGGCGTGAGGGAATTAACGCCGAGCGAGCCGCGAAGCAGCGGCAGCAGCATCTGCGTGCGTGAGGCAGAGGAGGCAGATGCGATTACTTCAGAATTTATTTAAGGACTGGTGAAAACCACTGCAGCGGCTCCAGGGGAAGTCCCCGCGCCGGGGAGCGCGCCCAGCCCAGCGCTGCCCAGCCCAGCCCGGCCCGGCCCGGCCCGGCCCGGCACTGCCGCGCCGCTCCCTCCGCCTCCGCCTCCACCCTCCGGCCCCGGCCCCGGGCTCCGGCCCCGGGCACAGGGCTCCTGCCGCGCCCGCCGTTCCCCAGTGTCTGATAATAATTACACGCCCGGACTATTGAGATCATGGCAGGTTTTATCCCTGCTTTCTCACGGTCGGATTACCGCAGATGATACGCTTTATTACGCTCTACGGTTAGAAGAGATGTCGTGGCGTTTGCCTGAGCTCCTTGAATTACAGGGTGTAGTAGCGTAGCGCTGCCGTGCCAGTGTCGCTGCCGGTGTCCCCGGGCGACGCGGGGCTGGCAGCGGTGCCCGGGGCGCGGCCACGTGCCGTGGGTGACCCCCGCCCGGGGCGCTCCCGCTCCCCGCTCCGGCTCCGTGCACGGTGCCAGCCGGGCAGCGATGTGCCAGCCGGGCAGCGGCGAGCCGTGGGCACAGGATTTCTCTCTGTAAAGCAGAAAGCCGCGTTTGCTTTTTGATCATGCAGGCAGTCGTGCGTGCGTGTGGACTTCTGTCACGCACAGAGGCATAATTAGCCTGGGAGGTATCGAAGAGCCGGGGAAGCCAGATACCGCTCATTTAAGTTTAGCAAAAGATAATAAATAAAAGAAAGATGCTTTCGCCCTGCCCCCTCCTCCTGTGATGGTTTGCCTCCAGCTGCAAAGATGCTGTTGCTCGAAAGGGGCTGCTGGAGCTTTAAGAGCCACTCCCCCCCCTCCTCCTCCCGACAATGGTCTGAACCGAGCTCTGCTTCCCAAAGCAAAATTTGTAATATGCCATTTTTCCCATGGATGCTTCTCCTCTTGGCTGCTGACGAAGTGACCGAAGAAAATGTTGAGGTGCCAAGCAGCGAGACTTGCCGGAGGACGGGTGCGGGGGCTTGGGGTTCCTCGGAGCAACGCCTGTGTCACCATTTCTAGGAAGATGGTCCAGGAGTGCTCGGCTGTGTGAGTCCCCGCTCGAAGCCGGTGGAGACTGCGGTTGTTATTGATCAAGTGAAATAGCAGACGCCGAAATAAAAGATACTAGGTACTGAACCTTCTATTTCTGAGTTAGATATTTCTTCCTTAGCCCCGATATCCCCAGGGGATGAGATGCAAATGCAAAATCTAGGTGTCTCCCTCTTGCTGTAGCACTTGTGTGGTATTTAAATGCATTTCTGTAATGGGAGTTGGGGGGTTTCAGACTGAAAAATGTGAAATCAACTTATTTTTTTGGTTGTGGTTAAGGGAGGTAGGAGGTGAGAGGGATGACATAAAGAACAGATACTTGGAATGAGTCCTTTTTCTAAGGTACTGTGCTGACCACCCCTCCTGTGTGGAAGGAGTGCAGGATGCTTCTGTTAAAGGTGATATCATAGTTTAGTGGAGGCTGGCAGGTAAGGAGTTAACTAGGAGGAGGAATATGCATGTAATGCAACTCAGACAATAGGAAGGATTTTCCTTATTGGAATTACACTGTGCTGCCTAAGAGCGATCCTGCTGAGGACATCTGAAGCGACATAATTGCAGTAAGATCTGGTTTTATCAGTCACTATATCTATTTAACGATTTGGAAAAAAATAGCTTGTAAATGCAAAATACCCAGAACGATCCAATGAAATGAGTTTTCAAGCTGATGTCACTGTGGACAGGCTAGAATGTATGGTAGGTAGATTTCTACTTCTTTTTCCTGCAGCAAAATTATAAGTAACTTGAAATGACTCCTCAGCTGTGGTGTGCAAATCAAACACAAGAGCAAACAGAAAACAAGCTTTTAAAGCCAGTTATGGAGAGAAAGGTGAGGGACTAAAATTAGATTCACATCTAAGGTGGTGGCCTTCAAGGTGAGCAAAATGAATGCTTGTCTAAGAGCCTTTGTCAGGCAGAAGCCAAGTAGCTTTGTGTCTTCTTATTCTCAGAGCTTCCCAAGTGAAAGAACTCCATCTGGTAAATAATTTCCAGGCTAAATGAGATTGCAGAAGTGTTTGTAACAATATTCACTTGAATAAATAATTCTAAGACTCTTGGACAATTGAGATAACAAAAAATGCCAAATAGGGTGGGGTCCAGTTAGAAGAAGGAAGACAAGTTTTTCATTTTCCACCTCTACAGGATACATACCACAGAAATGTCAAGTAGTTTTAGAGAAAGTCAGTATTGAGGACATACTTTGACACCTGGTCCATACATGATCATAATCAGAGAGAAGTTAATATAAGAGAGTTGCTATCAATTAATTTGTTAATGGAGTCCCTCCCGAAAAGAAGCTTTATGTAACTCTTAACCAAGGATGGCCATATCCTGTGCTCTGTGCTGGAATTTTTGTCCATTCCCCTTGTCTGGATGTTTAAACTGAGCTGCAGAATTCCTAATTTGAGCTAATACAGAGTTCACTCTTGATGGAGACATAATGCAGCTAATGCTACAGATTTGCTATGACATTTTTGCATACAGCCTGAAAAATCTTAATCACAGTGAACCACATTCTTTCTCCCTCTAGTAAGACAGATTACTTTTTACCAGTTGGATGTTGTGCGTTTAGAGGGGAAACCTGTTCATGATTTCTGGTAATGTAGTAGGCAGTGGTCACATAACATTCATCATGCTCCCTGGTATCACAAAACAGACATTTGTGATCTTTATGCCTTTGTTTGGAGGGAGTAAAATGACAGAAGATTGATGGCTTGTCTATGTTAGTGACTTTTTCAGCCATCTGTACTGATCCAAACTCATTGAAGTCTATGATAGAATTTCCATGAATTCAAGTATTTTCTGGGTTTGATTCCATGCAAATAACTGGAGAAAACACTGAACTAGGGATCAGTCAACCTGGAAAAGGCTTTGTAGTAGATGGTGCAGTAGATACACGATGGACAAGAAAGATAATGTGTTTTGAGAGCTTCAGTGTCCTGCTTCTCAAGCTGCCATTGGGTATGGCTGTGATGCCTGAGCACACAGGTGCAAAACTACTACTAAATGAGAGTCTAGGTTTTGTTTCGAATTAGAAGAGTTCTAAAGTTATTCATTACCTAAAAGTCTATTTCCAGGGAGTGTTTATGTGCTACATGGATTTCAAGGGAAGCAGGAATTTGCCAGTATTCTGCTCCCCCTTCAGAACCTCTCCAGGGGTTTGAGATAGTTGCAGGTGCTACACAAGTTCACTGTATGTTGCAGTCCTTGCAAGTTTTGGATGCTGTGGGGGCACCCTGCCCAAGGGAATTGTAATATCTGCTTTGTGGCTCAGGATGGATCTTATATATTAACAGTAAAATGCTGGTGACTTAATGCATCTTTCATTGAGGGATTGCTTTACTTGCATTCAGATACTGGGTAAAGTGATAAGCTTTGTACTATAGAAGTAGTAAGTTCAGTATCAATGGAGCTTTTATTTTTCTATTTAAAGAAAGAGAAACACATTTGAAAAGTCTTACTTTTGTTGGCTTAGATCACTCAAGCATAACTTTAGTTAAGTTGTATTACTACAGGGCAAGTCAGCCTTTTTCTGGCAAAGAACACAAGCTTTCCTTCTTTTCTTTTGAATGAAGAGGTATATAGTGCCCATTCAGCTATTAATGTCAGCTCTTTCAGTTGAAGAATATGCCATCTTGTTTATTCCTTTCTCTCCTCTCCTTCCTCTTCTTTGCAATCCTGGCTGCATGGGAACTGTTGCACAGAGTGATGTACAGGAGAGCCTATTTCGTTATCATGGACTTCTGTGGTCTTGAAAATATGGGACAGAGATGTTTAATCCACCACTTGCAGTTCTTAACACCCACTGGAAAGAAATTCCAGCTCCCTCAGTGATCATTCCTCGCTGCCTGTGTTCCACTTAACATGCCTTCAGGTTGGAGTAGATGATCTCCAGAGGTTCCTTGCCACCCTGAGTATTCAATGATTCTCTCATATCCTCAGAGAGCAAGGTGGCTGTCCACTCCCTAGTGGGTTGCTGTAGTTACCTGGCCTGTACCTCACTTTCTCCTGATGAATAATTGGTCAGTTCAGGTCTTATTTACCTACTCACCTTCTACTTCCATTTTACCCCCAGCTTCTTCTCTGCTGTTTTCTGGGGCAAAAGCCTGCAGTTCTCTGGTGGCACAATGAGCTGCAGTGGCTTGCCAGATGCATGGTTAGACACCAAGTAGGATTTGAGGTATCAAGTCTCGGTAAAGAAATCCTTAGTAAAGTTCTTCAGTGGGAATTTACTCACTCTCTGCAAAGGTGCCTCCTTACGGCTGGGTACAGGTACATGAGTTTACTCAATTCAACATCATTCATCATTCCTTTGAAAAGAAGCAAATCTGTGGGTTTGGGTTCTTGGATTTGTTTGGTGGTTGATTTGTTTGGGTCCTATCCCATGGAATTATTCCATGTGGAAAGGACGTTTGGAAGTCATCTGTGACAACCTCTTGCTCAGTGCGGGGCCAAGTGCAAAACAAGATGAGTCTGCTCACTGCAGGTTTGGAAAATAAAAGAAAATTCAGTGTTAACTGTAATTTTCAGAAATTTAAGGCAGATATTTATGCACTCCAAATATGTGTCATTTAGATTTTGTCACATTACCTGAAACTTTTAAGAGAAGTTAGTTTGCAATTTAGAGTTGTGACAATACAATTCAAGGTTTCTGTTTTAAACTTCAGAGACAGGATTCTAATGCTTCGTGTGCATTGTTGATTGTCTTTGTTTATTCTCCCTTTTTTGTCGCTGTCAGCTCTGAATTCTTTTTCACTAGCAGGACTCATCAAAGAAATGTAACTGTAATTGCCTTGTGGGAGTTGATAGGAATGTATAGATTAGGGAAAGGGATACTATGCTGGGATAACAAATATCTGAACATAGGAGCTGGCATGTGCAGATGAGGTGGAGAGATTAAAATATATGCACAGACTTGAACATGTTTATGCATCTGATTTTCAGTGCATTCAGAGCTGAATGAGAAACTAACAGCCTATTAAGCTGTATAAAACCAATTCAAAAGAGTGGAGGGCTGGGAGTCTTCATTCCAGTCTTTGATCTTTTGGGGTCATTCCTGGGTGTATGATTATATTCCATCAATCATATGACAAGCTGATAAGCACAGGTAGAAAACATGGAATATCCAGATGTCAGTTTGGATATGCTTGGTCTACCTAGCAGCTGTGGTTTAGAAAATCGAGTTCTCTGAGCCTAGCCAGTTTTTGGAGCAGTAAGAATGGAGAACAAAAAGGAAGCTTAATGGCAGTCCTTTATTAATCTTGTTCAGTTCAATTCTGAGTGGAATTGATATCTACATGTTTAGTAAGAACTGAGTACCTGAGACAAATACCTGCTATGTATGCATGGATCTGTACATATATCATTAAGTCCAGGATGCAGCTGTCTTGTGCATATGAAATTTGATTCATGCATATATAGGAAAAGATATCTGAGTTTTTTCAAAAGTTATGTAAATGCAGAGATCAGCTGCAAAAGTATGTGTGGCATGGTAGTTCTGAAGTGTAATAGAAGTGGCCCTGGAAATAGCCTTATTTTGAGCCTTTTAGAACTGCAGCATTGAATGTGGCTGTGTCTCCCCTATAAATACAACTGAAAAAGGAATATATTTTTTGCAAAAAGAATGGCTTATTCTGGCTGATTTATTAGAGATATCACTTTCAGTGTTTAATGATTGAAATTCTTCCTGTATAAAATATACTTGAGCTTAACACAGATTTATGGTCTGTGGTAAGTGGGGAAGAGTAGGTAGGTAGAGTGATTCGTTCTAATTTCATTGTATGAAATATTTCAGCTGATTATATTATGAACCCAGACTAAAAATTGTTAGGGTGATGGAGGTATTTAATCACCAAATTTAGGTTTAAAATTCAAATTAAATAGAAGGAAAATCAGAAATGGCCCTCTTTCCCTACTGGAACTTTAAAAAATATAATCCAGGTTACTCAAGATATCACCACATTAGCAATCAGACCAAACTGATCATAGCTGTACTATTTTTATGTTATGCTTTAGCATGAATCCCTCAGTTGTTTCTGTCTGTATGTGTTGTCTTGGTCATCTATGTCCTTCTGGTGTATGCAAACTAAATTCCTTTCAGGGATAACTAAGCTGGGAGCTGACTCTTACATTTAAATCTCCTGACCCTATGTGTGAACCACATAAACCTGTGGTTAGCCAAAGGTTATGCATTGACTAATGCATGCAAACGCCATCAGGAAATGTCAAGAACTCTTGTAGCTCTGCGACATATTTCATTTCCTGTATAAAGATCCAAATGCATATGTGACCTTCCATTTGTCCTCAGCTTCCTATCTTACACTACTAGGCTGTGATCGATCTGTTTGCTGACACTCCTCCTCTGTTCCTGTGAAGTTTTTCCTCTGCTTTACCTGCCCTAGCTTTTGTTGCAGTCCCTCTTGATAAGCCTTCTTTCCTTTTTTTTTCTTCATTTAAAAATTCTTCAAATATTCTCAGTATTTTGATTCCTACCTGCTATCAAGCAGGAAATTTGTAACAGGTGTGTAATAAGGTCCTGGGGAAGTAGCTCTATTCTTCAGCACGTGCTTGGGAACAGTGTTGAATGGTGGCTGCCTCAGGACACTGAAAGCATCCCATGTGTTGGCACATATAAGAGTGATAAATGCCAAGAAAGTTTTAAAAAAGGAAAACAAAAATGCTTTTCTGAAGGCAAGAAGACACAAATCATAGTAAATGGAACACCATGGCATACTAGGTCTTTCATGAAAGGCTGTAAGAAATTTTTCTTTGGAAGCCCCACAGCAAACCTGCAGTTGCTTGAGATTTTGTTACTTGTTTTGTGGCTTGGTGACCCAGAGACACTTTGAGAAGCCAGGTTTCCTTCCGAGTTGTTTGGGGTCCTCATGGACCCCCAATCAAACAATCTGTGTGAGGTCATGATCCAGGATTCCCTCCCATATCTCCTGCTCCTTGCTCTTACAAGAGTCCAAATGTCCCTTTCTGTCACACCCTCCCAGCCTTTCTGTCTGGCTCAGGTTAACAGACTGCTTTGCTGCATTTCTCTTCACTCTCAGGGTGGGGGAGGGAGAGGACGCAAGTGGTTCCAATGGAATAATGGCATTGATCTCCGGACTCCCAGAAAGCGATGTACATCACCAGGCTCACTGCAAGAACTGCTGTACCTTTTAAAGATTCTCCAGGGGCTGTGAGCTGTGGGAGAAAACATCCAAATAGCAACTGCCTACACCAGGAACTGCCCACCCATTCCCTGCCTTCTCTGCTGTCTTAGTCATAGCCCAAGTTTGTTACTTGTGCTGTCAGAACAATGCAGTCCAGGGATTCAAAATAAGAACAATGCATGGCCCCTGCCTTCCCTGAATGCAACAGCTGAGAGGGACAAGATGTGATAACAGTGCCATGAGCATTCATGGATTCTCTTATAACCCCACAACCACTTATATGGCTTCCCACATCCACATAATGACTTGAAGAGATTTCCCATCTAGTGTGAATGCAAGGTGCTGAGACAGCAACAGCTGTCCACACAGAGCTTTCCCTACCTGTTCTCACACACTCACCAGCATTCCCGCAAAATTGTACCACTCTCACTCTGCCACAGCCTGTGGTAGCTGGGGTAGCTACCACAGGGGTAGCAAATGCTGTGCCCTTCACACCAGAAACCATGTGTAGCACATTGGAAGCAATTTCTTGAATGATGAAGCTTCACTGATGAGAATCCCCTAGGACAAGAAGTGTGACCCATGAGATGTTGATGATTGTGAGGCAGAAAGGGTGCAGTGACAATCCAGATTGTTAACTTTGATGTTGGAGAATGGGCGTGCAGAGACCATGGTCTCTGGCCACCTGGTGCATACTGAAAAGTTATCATTGAACTGAGCAAGTAGCAGATGGCCTTGGAATTTTTTTAGGTATCCCTTTGCTCACTGTGAACATGACCATCCCAAACTGGTCAGCCACAGGTGGAAGCTGAGTGGAGACTGGTGACGGCCCCTTGCTGAGTGCACTGTACTTAGACGATGTTGTGAGAGGTTCCTGGAGGCAAGACAGGCTCCCCTGGCTGGCATCCCACATCCCAAGGTCCCTGGGGACAGTGGACAAAGCAGTCAACATCAGCAAGCTCTCCCAAAGATGCCTAAAGCTCCTCACTGTACATGAAGTGGGGGTTTGAGATTTATGTAAAAAGCTTTGGAGCGGAAGGATGGGACTAGGTGATGTTATTTGCTCTGCTCAGGACAGATTTAAGAAACAAACAACAGTGATTCTGTTCCTGGTAATTCAATTTTCACAAGATATCATAGGGATGTAATTAGCAGAGTTTCTAGTTCTTGACCTCTTACTGAACAAGCTCACCGGAGAATAACTTCCCCTGAGGATGGGAATAACTAGATAGAAAAATAGATTAACCTGGCATTGTTAAGGCAGCATGATACTGGATCAATGGTTAGCCTGAGCTGTACTGTAGAATTGCCTAGAGGAAGACAAAATCTGGCAATTAGTGGCAGCTATTGACATCAATACCAACAATTCAACAATGAAATTAAGTAAGAGAAGGGAGGGAGAAAAGCCACAATAAGGGAGACTACAATTGCAGAGGAAATATTTTCTGTTATTTTAAGAGAGTATTATTTCCAAAACGATTAATTTAAATATTCTGTAACCCTCCATCTCCTTCCAGTCAGTCTTCCTTAGTTTTGGGAAGCACATTCAAAGTCTTTGCTCTATGGAATTAGTCACTGTATTTAATCCCTCTCTATTGATCAACTGATTAACATTGCATGCAAGTTTAAAAGTGGGAACAATGCAATAATCTACTAACTGTGTCCATGTACAGAGTTTATTCTTCTTCTTATGAAACATCCTCAAATGTTTTCGCTACTGAAGAGCTGTTCCTTGATTTGTGTTTGTTTTAAAGAAATGATGTGTGAAGTGATGCCAACGATAAACGAGGACACCCCGATGAGTCAACGGGGGTCCCAAAGCAGTGGCTCGGACTCGGATTCTCATTTTGAGCAGCTGATGGTGAACATGCTGGATGAAAGGGACCGTCTCCTGGATACCCTTCGGGAGACACAGGAAAGCTTGTCACTTGCACAGCAACGCCTACAGGATGTCATCTACGACAGAGATTCCCTCCAGCGACAGCTGAACTCAGCACTGCCTCAGGTATGTTGTTAACAAAGATTCTTTTTCTTTTTGTTTAGGTTCACTAATTTTTGAGTTAACACCAATTACTTTAACCCTAATCAGTATGCATTCCTTGAGGTCCAAATTTTGCTCCCATTGATGTCAGCTGTAGAACTCCTATTGAATTAATAGAACCTGGTTTGACCTCTATGGGACCTTTTTTCATATTTAAGAATAGGAGTAATGCTGTTGACTTGAAGGAGAGCAAGATGAAGGCCTGTAGCTACTGGTTCTTTTGGCTGTTGCTCTAGCATTTACAACAGGTGAAGGATCATTTAAATAAAAGATCTAGAGGTAGAAATAAAGAAAGAAGAATGAGAATGTTTTCTAGAGACTTCTAATAAACAATAAAACCAACTAATGTAGTTAATAAGGTACGACACAACCCCCAAAAAATAACTGATACCTTAATATTTTAATTCAATTAAGTTTAAATATTTATATAAATCTCACTATCTGAAGTTACCCTAGTCTTTTTTAGGAACTTCAAAACTGAATTACTTCAGTTAAAATACTGTGATATATGTCAATAATATGTGTCAATATAATTGTTTTTAATATACTGGAATTAAAAGCAAAGAAAGATTTTACTTCAGTCTGCGTATGTGGCCAGAGGTTGGAAAGATACCATGATTCAAAATTCAGATTTACTCCGTGTTTTTTGCTTTGTGTCTCTGAGCTGTCATGTATTAGAGCATGTGACCATGAGGGCCTAGGGAGGAATTAGGGAAGTGTGTAGTTGGAGTAAAGAGGCAATAAGGATGAATGAAATAGTAACAAAATTTTTAAGGGTAGAAGAGGAAAGTGGCACCCTCTGGAATAGGGAAAAGCAGTTCCCTATTCAAGGGCTAACCTCAGTAGGTTTTTGAAATATCTTGGGATGGGACAAAATCAGAGAGAGAGAGAGAGAGAGACAGAGAAAAAGAGAAAGAGAAAGAGAGATAGAGAAAGAGCTCCAGACAGTGAGAATGCCTGCAGCTGGTTTGGGACAAACAAAAAGGAGTAGCAATGATCTTGATAAACTGTAAAATCAAGGTTGTTTTTTTTTTCTTTTTTTCTCTTTATTTGTGGGCAGTTGAGCTTCTTTTTACAGGTATCTCTACACAGAAGAGTAGAAAAGAGTAAGTGAAAGACAGCATAAATCCTTTATTCAAAGATTTACTGCTGGAAATCCAAAGAAGAGAGGACACTCAGCATCTGTTAAGTCCCTTTCAGTGTGCTGATGCACTCTCCACTGGGCCCATAGTGAGGTATTTTTGTTGAGCACTAGCAGGTGTCTAAGCCCTAACAAGTCCTGCATATGCAGAATGCCTGCTAAAATACTGGAGACTAGCTAAGGAAAATAATATTCAGTATAAATGCCATACAGAGCCTAAACAAAATGAATTCTAAGGAAATGTATCACGATAGTATTTTATTCTTTATTTCTTCTAGTAAGAAATAAAGATTAAAATTATATTTTGTTACATAGTTTTGAATGATAGCTATACAACTGCTAAAAGCAATAGATTTGTCAGGTGAATGCTTTGGTCTACCATGTACCATTAGGAATGTGTTTCAGGTAGCATTCATCCTTATATCTAAGAGAGATGCAGGTTTCCCATATGAGAAACTGTGTGACACATGGTTACACCTTAAAGCAGAATCAGGTTTTAAGTCCATCAAATATGTTATCTAGATCTTCATGTAATAACGAAATTCTTATAAGTACAGAACACTGGCTTAGTAATATAGTATTTGAGTAGTAGAGTCTTTCAAGAATGTAATTTTCATATCACTGCCATACTATTTAGTTTCAGTTCTGGACTTGAGATATTCTATACAGTACTTTCACAGTTTTTTGGTTTATGGTTTTATGAATGGCAATTGCCTTGCTAACTGCCTGTTGTAGCCTTCTAACAAAATATTACCTAGGACGACTTACCTAGTGGAGAGGAAGAATTCTCTCTTTACTCAGTTTAGGGGGAAAATATATAAATATACGATATCTATGTGATAATTATCATGTAGTTCTGGCATCTAATGAGTCTTGCTTTATCAGAATTTATTCTTTTAGTTCTTGATCCCTCGTGTGGTTTTCAAAATTCAGTTATTTCTCAGTATTTACACTGTGCTTTATGAGTAGAAACTGTGTATTGACACAGTTTTATTCCAAAGCATTTTTGTTAGGACACTGTTTTTGCTTATTGTCTAAGTGTTTACAGTGAAAAATATGTTCTGGAAAAATCATTACACTTGTAATAAATAGAACCTGCACAAAAAGAGCTTGCATGAAAACTCAGCCATTGAAAAATCTTGTCTGATGGGAAATAGGAAATCATAAATAACATTAAAGAGGAAGCTTGTGTTATTAGTTAATGCTGTTACAGCTGTTAGGGCTACAGCCAATGACTGTAAATGTCTTTAAGTTTTTATACTGGTCTGCACTGCAACAGAACAATGTACAATTAACCATGTCTTTCAAATCTGAGTTACGGAAATATAGTTGTCATGCTAAGTGCTACCATTGAAATAAATTTTATTTCCATTAGATTGGCAGTTTTTACTTTATGAACATCTGTCTGTAACTGAACAGCTATGTTTGAGGGAGGAGGGAAAAAGTGAGCGAAAATTACAGATCAGCTGGTCTAAATAAAATAACAGGGAAGACTTTAATCTTGTTTTGGAGGAAAATCTAATGATATGTCAAAAAGCTAACTTAAAAATATAACAATGGTTTATCAAAATTATCTTTATGCAAAGTAACTCAACATGACTCTTTGGTACCAGACTTTTTAGATTGGGGAACTACAGAATCCCTAAAATTACATTTTTTGAAGTCAACTCATTTAAATTACTGATAGATGGGAGGTGTCTAAGGAAAAGCAATATAATAATTAATAAGGTCAGTAATAAAGGAGAGAGAGAAAAAATTTTCACTTACAGTAGACTGACAGGATAAAAGGAGAATAGTAGTAGTTAATGTATTTTGAAGCTTTTATTTATTTGAGCATAAGAAGCAGCATGCTAGTGGAAATTTCAGATGACACAAAATTGAGTTGAATTTTGAACTAAGGGAGTTTATAGTACACAAGAACAAGAGTAACAGAGGTGGGATGGCAGTGCATGGTAAAAGGGTGAATGCCTTATATCTAGCAGGTAATAAAAAAAATCATGACCTTTTAGGTAGCTGTAGTAAAGAGGGATAATATATGGTTTACAGTGGTGATAGGCAGCCAGTGGGAGGTTAAAAAAGGAAAGCATCATTTTGAAATGTGTTACATAAGAGACTTCTGTTGGAAGTAGGTAAATATTAATGCAGTTAGACCAAGGGGTGGTTTGGACCTTATTTATCTGAGTTTTGGCTCAGTAGTGATTGAGAGTCGACCTCAAATTGGAAGAGATTGAGAAAAACATTGCTAGAGGAAAGAGTAAGTAACATTTTCTGTCTGAAAAGACTAATTGAAGATTTCTTATTTCTGGGGGAAACTGACTGCAGAGGGACAATGAGTGATTTCATAGATTTTCTTGGAGAGACAGGAAGATGGAATGAACAGGTAAAGATGAAAAATATTTTAAGCCAAAAATAATGTTCATGAAGGAATAAATGATTATAGGGTACCATGAATAAAGATAGATCATTCATCAAAAAAAGGTCTTGCATTATGAAGGAATGGCATCTTTCTTAGACCAAGACACAGCGAAAACCCATAACTGGTATAAAAGAAGTTGGTATAAAAGATATTGTATTTCAAAATATGTTTGCTTAACCTGTGAACGGGACCCAAAACACCTCTTCCATATTCTTTATTTCAAACTTTATTCTGGATATACTTGGAATCTAGTTCACAAGTGGTCTTGTTTATTCTTCTCAAAGCTGCCTATTGATAGTGGAAGCTTCTAAGGAAAGTGTGTCTGGGTCTGCACTGTATGATCCCCAACAACAGGAATTTATTGCATTTAGGTCATGACTCTTAAATCCAGAAAAAAAAATAAGCCAAGTACAATGAAATATGCTGTAATGAGGAAGCATACAATCTAAATACTTAATATTGTGTTTTTGTTTTATTGGAGTAAAATAAGGTCTTTTACTGCAGCATAAGAAAGTGTTCTACCAAAAAGGTTAGGAACTCTAACTCTGTTTTTGAGTGCTAAAAAGAGGAAAATGTTTAGTTACAACTTTCTCAAGCAAATTTAACCATAATCTTCTCTAAGCTAAATAGTCTAGAAAATATCACCTTGATTAGTTACCTTGTAAACAAACTGAAAAAATACAGCATATGTCATTGTAAGACTTTGAATGACTTCTCTTATGATAGAATCATAAGATTTGTAATTGTATTCTGATAAACAGTACTGAATGAGTGTTGGTTTTTGGTTACTTTATTGCTGTTTTTAGCCTTTCAAGAATAAGTTTCAAGGTATGAAATGTATTAATTTATATAAAGATGTTCATAACTTGCCACTCTCTAGTCAAGTTTATTTTGTTAATTAATAATATACTTGCTCAGTGATTTACTTAGAAATTATTATTCACGGAATAGTTGAGGTAGGGAAGGACCTCAGGAGGTCACCTTGTCTAGCTTTTCTGTTGCAGCAGGGTTACTAAGAACAGGCTGCCCAGGACTGTGTCCAGATGGCTTTTAAATATCTCTGAAGGTAGACTCCACAGCCTCTCTGGGCAACCTGTGCCAGTGCTCAGTCACCCTTACTGTAAAACGTAAAAAAGGTTTCCTGATGTTCAGGAGGAACCTTCTGCCTTTCCATTTGTGTTCATTTCTCTTCAATATTACATTACCAGAAAGTCCTGATTTTACTGATCCTTTATGGTAGCAGATTTTATTTTTTAGTGGCTGTAAGTCTTTTCATGTGTTGATTATTGGAATCTGCCCATATGATACATCTTTTTTAGTACTATTGGCTGTCAACTCATTATTTTCCATATGCCTTAGCATAGTTTCCAGGAGGATCTGCTCCATGGTCTTGCTGGTCACTGAGGT